ACAGATGTCCACATACCTAAACATACGCACTGTCACACAGATGCACACATACACACTGACACACACAGATGTCCACATACCTAAACATACGCACTGGCACAGATGCACACATACACACATACCTAAACATACACACTGACACACACAGATGTACACAGATATATGTACACAGATACACATATCTAAACATACACACACAGATGTCCACATACCTAAACATACACACACAGATGTCCACATACCTAAACATACACACTGACACACACAGATGTCCACATACCTAAACATACGCACTGGCACACAGCTGCACACATACACACTGACACACACAGATGTCCACATACCTAAACATACGCACTGGCACACAGATGCACACATACACACATACACACTGACACACACAGATGTACACATATCTAAACATACACACACAGATGTCCACATACCTAAACATACACACTGGCACACACAGATGTATACATACATACTGACACACACAGATGTCCACATACCTAAACATACACACTGACACACACAGATGTCCACATACCTAAACATACACACTGACACACACAGATGTCCACATACCTAAACATACACACACAGATGTCCACATACCTAAACATACGCACTGGCACACAGATGCACACATACCTAAACATACGCACTGGCACACAGATGCACACATACACACTGACACACACAGATGTCCACATACCTAAACATACACACTGACACACACAGATGTACACAGATGTACACATATCTAAACATACACACACAGATGTCCACATACCTAAACATACACACTGGCACACACAGATGTACACATACATAAACATACACACTGACACACACAGATATCCACATACATAAACATACACACTGGCACACACAGATGTACACATACCTAAACATACACACTGGCACACACAGATGTCCACATATCTAAACATACACACTGGCACACACAGATGTCCACATATCTAAACATACACACTGGCACACACAGATGTCCACATATCTAAACATACACACTGGCACACACAGATGTCCACATATCTAAACATACACACTGGCACACACAGATGTCCACATACCTAAACATACACACTGACACACACAGATGTACACATACCGAAACATACACACTGACACACACAGATGTACACATACATAAACATACACACTGACACACACACAAATTGCAGCTTCCATAATGTTAAGCACCCTCCCCTCTCCCCTCTGCTTAAATACCTTTTTCTTTGCAGGAAGGTGACTTCCTGAGCCTGATGGGAGTCTGAAGCCGCAGAGCTCTCTCTCTCTCCTCTCTCCTCCTTCTCTCCCAGCTGCCTGTGTCTTCTCTCCCAGCTGCATCCTGGGTGTTCTCAGCCCGCGCGGTCTGTATGCTGGGAGGAAGTAACAGTCACTTCCTCCCAGCACTCCCTGCAACTTTAAAGGGGCCCGGTCTGCCAAAGGGCTGCAGCACCCGACCGAGCCCCTAATGAGGTCGCTCAACTGATGGCAGCTGCACTATTTTCTCGGGGGGGGGGCAATTGCCCCGTTGCCCCCCCCCTGGATCCGCCACTGCCTCAACACTGGGCTTAGTGCTCTGCCATCTCTGACGTCACCCAACTGGGAGTACGCTTATGTGCATGCGCAGTGAGCGTATTAGGCCCTCTCCATAAAAAAGCATTGCTGCAATGTTTTCTTGTGGGGTTTTTACAGATGTACTCATGAGGATGTCCAGTGTCAAGCAACCAAAAGTTGCCTAGGAAACAGGAAATGCCTTATGGGCTGTCTGATTGAGGCAGTCATAGTCCTGCAATGTACTTATTGCATTTTCTCAGAAACCGCAATAATTAACATTGCAGGGTTAAGGGAACAGGGATATTGCACCCAGACCACTTCAATGAAGTGATCTGAGTGCCTACAGTGTCCCTTTAACCCCTAAGGACACATGACATGTGTGACATGTCATGATTCCCTTTTATTCCAGCAGTTTGGTCCTTAAGGGATTAAGCGGAAATGTAAACTTTTCTCTGAAAAGGCAGTGTTTACATTGAAAAGCCTGCAGTGGCAGGATATAGACACCAGAACAACTACATTAATCTGTAGTTGTTCTAGTGAACATAGAGTCCCTTTAAAATTGGAAAACAGACTTCTAAAGTCATAGTATCCTATGTCAATTACAAAACAAATACCAGGTTGAGATTTTGTAACAACTCTTGAATGATAAGCAATGGAACAACAAGGCTTTTTAGATCATTTATATGTCATGAAAATTTGAATTATTTTCACATAATTGGGATGAAAATTACAGTTTTTTTTATTAACCTGTAAACCTGGAGAAATAAAATGTGTAAAATACTGTTTCAGGGTTTTTTTTAACCACTAGAGGGCACTTGTTCACCATGTGAAAAATGGTTTCTTCATACATTGACTTATTTTAAACCTTTGGTCAGTCAATGATTTATATCCTTGTTTCATATTTATCTTTTTTCGTTTTGTTTTAAGTTTTTGTTTTTTTTTCATATTTGTCATCACTTAATTTGCAGAGTAACTTATTTTTTTGTAACTATCATTGTTATTAATTTCTGAAAAATCATATAACAAACATCTGTCTAGAGTAGACTTGCTCTATTTATGCTATTGTGTCATTATTAAAATTAACTTGTCATGACAGGTTCACGTTAGCTTGAATCCCCCCAATGAATTGAATGCATTATATATCACAGAGAGAAATTATGTATTTAATGTAAAGTTGTGAGATAGAAAAATTCACCTTCTGTCCAATTCAGTACTTCCATGTCTATAGTTTTGTGCGTGTTACTCATCTATAACATTCACCTTGGGTCCCCTCTCACTCCTGCAATAATTGTCCTGCTTGAGGGAAATTCTCTAAACAGGGCAAACCTCCTCTGTGATGCTGGCATCTAAGTGAACATCAGTTAGTCCATTCCTATACCTACTAGCGATCCCTAGCATTGGTTAGGGAGTTATCATAGCAACCACAGTGTACGTGCTGTGGTTGCTATATGTAGAAAACAGAAGGACCGCCTGTGGGAGGTTTCTTCTGTTTGCTCTTGTCAGTCACTTGGCATAGACTATATTTTTAAATAGTTTTTTATCCTAATCTATAGATTTACTAGCAAATTTGTAAGCATAATGTATAGATCAAATTGTATGCTCTTTCAAAAGAACATAAGTTGTAGGTTCCATGACAGGTACCTTTGAAAACAAGCAACGTGAGATACATAGAAACATAGAAACATAGAAACATAGAATGTGACGGCAGATAAGAACCATTCGGCCCATCTAGTCTGCCCAATTTTCTAAAAACTTTCATTAGTCCCTAGCCTTATCTTATAGTTAGGATAGCCTTATGCCTATCCCATGCATGCTTAAACTCCTTACTGTGTTAACCTCTACCACTTCAGCTGGAAGGCTATTCCATGCATCCACTACCCTCTCAGTAAAGTAATACTTCCTGATATTATTTTTAAACCTTTGTCCTCTAATTTAAGACTATGTCCTCTTGTTGTGGTAGTTTTTCTTCTTTTAAATATAGTCTCCTCCTTTACTGTGTTGATTCCCTTTATATATTTAAATGTTTCTATCATATCCCCCCTGTCTCGTCTTTCCTCCAAGCTATACATGTTAAGATCCTTTTAACCTTTCCTGGTAAGTTTTATCCCGCAATCCATGAACCAGTTTAGTAGCCCTTCTCTGAACCCTCTCTAAGGTATCAATATCCTTCTGAAGATACGGTCTCCAGTACTGTGTACAATACTCCAATTGAGGTCTCACCAGTGTTCTGTACAATGGCATGAGCACTTCCCTCTTTCTACTGCTAATGCCTCTCCCTATACAACCAAGCATTCTGCTAGCATTTCCTGCTGCTCTATTACATTGTCTAGATACTCTTTGCTTTCTGTCATGGCTCTATCTTTATCAACAATTCGAGCATTTTTTATAATGTGTCAGCTTTGTCTTACTTTTCCAACATATTAACTAAACTAATATAGCATATAAAGAAAATGTTATATACACCGCGGCTCTGAAAACAATAGTAGGTAATTGCTCAAAAAGGCAGTGTTTCACTTAGGCATTAAAGGAACACTATACTGTTATAGTGTCAGGAATACAAACGATCCTGACACTATAGTCCTGTGGTGTCATTTTAGGTTACCATCCCCACTCCGGTCATGCTGAAAAGGATTTTATTCATCTTTTCTCCCACTCTGTGGCAGTCTTGCAACACCTGGGCCTGCCTAGATCCACCTCCATGGCTGAGATGATCAATTTTGACAATTTTAGCCAATCCAAGCCTATTGCCCATGCACTGCAATACACCATGCTGCTCCAATCAGCATATCATCATAGAGATGCATTGAACCGATGCAACTCTATGGGGAACGTACAGTGTTTTATTACAGAGCGTGTAGATGCCAGTGTTGCATCACTGACACAGGAAGCACCTCCAGTGGCCATCTGAGTGACTGCCACTAGAGGTGTCTTTAGGCTGAAAACAGCTTTTCCATTGAAAAGCCTGCAGGGACAGGCTATAGACACACGAACCACTAAGCCGTAGTAGTTCTAATGACTATAGTGTTCCTTTTAAATCAGTGATGAGAAGTACCTATTAAATAGGTTCACAAAAATCTCTCATAGACTGACTTGGAATTCCAACTCAGCCAGAACATAATGTATATGAGATACTTTTACGGTATACTTTGTCCCATGAAGTTGCTGATTTTTGGCAAAATGTGGCAATAGGTAAAGCTTGAAGCACCTTTGGTTACTACTATCTTGCCATTACCCATCTACGAGCAAAAGTTCAAGTAAGTATATCTTTGTGTCTCTATTCACTAAGTTGTAAGTGGACATTACCACCTTGGGAGAGCCCACAAGTGATAGTGGAGGATTGTATGATTTTCCTAACGTTTATGAAATTTGTGTTTTTTTTGTTTTGTTTTTTAAATAAAATGCAAAGAAAGTAACATGCTCATTTTCTTTACTGATTTTCAGCAGCAAAGACATTCATACATACAGTTCACAAAAACATGAAAGAAATAAACAAGAAAATATATAGGTATCACATTACAATCCCCAACCGTTTCAATCTTAACACTGTCTATTAGTCTTGGTGTCAACATATTGTCTTCTTTAAACAATCCAAACAATGAAATCCAACCACGAAACGAATCAAAGGAAAACAAACTTCATCCAAAAATGGAATGAAAAAAAGAATCCTTAAAAATAAGAAATCCATTCACACTGCAAAGACAGGAAAAATTGTAAAGAATTTGTCAATGATCTGAAAATATAACATAATTTTCATTACAGAAGCAATTATGTAACACGATTGAAAAGGACAAGTTATCAATAGGTTTAGAGCAAAATGCTTCAAAAGTAGATTCTCTAGACTTATTTACAGACTCCATCGGATAATCGTATCTTAACCCACTTAGAACAATACGCTCCAAAATGACATCTACTGTGATAAGAATTAATACACTTATAGAAAGAAAAACAGTTTATCTTCAACCAAAATTGTGTCCAGTTCAACTTAGATTTAATTTCCTGTTCGGTAAAGTTATGTCTGTATGTTCTTTCACTCAGTAGATCAGGAGGGTTTATAAATGTATGCTGTCTTACAGGAACGCTCCAATGGGAAAGAAATATATACATTACTATAACAATTTAGTAGACATACCTCCAATGAAAACATGCATGAATTTAATTATGCATTTTTTTGTTTTTGTTTATTGTGGATATATCTAAAACCACTTTGAAGGTCTTACCCAGGCAAGACTCTGTGGCATTCAGAAGCCCCAGAAACATGACTAAACTTGGCCCCTTCATCAATAAAAGGGGGGGCACAAAACTGGTTACCTGTCTAGAGTCCTGTCGAATCTTTATTTTTCATTGAACGGCACTGCATTATTTTTGGAGAGTGCTTGCCCATTTTTTTATTTGGAATTTATTACTGGTGAGGTAATACCGAAAGGGCTATACAGCACCCGAGTTTAGTAAGCGCTCATCAACTTTGTGTTGCAGGTGGGCAAATAGCTAGAACAAAACCCTAGATTTAGCTAGATACATCTAACATGCCTTATTTTAAATACAGCAGTAACCTCTCTAGATAGATATAGTTTTGTTGGTACTGGAACCATGTGATCACCATAGGAATTCTAAAATCCAGGCAATGCCTTGAAGCCAAATTATTTTCTTTTAAAAGAAGTCAAACAACAATATTTTTCGTTTTCCCCAGATCTCGTAGGGATATGTAAAATTATCAAATCAGTTAGCATATCTTTACTGACAATTGTTAGCAGGACCGTGGCCTTCAACTTCCTAACCTGCAATATTGTCCTTAGCAAATGGTGCATATAATTAATCCCTTGAAATGAAAAAAAAAATTTTTTTTTTTTTAAATCAACGAACTAATGCTTTTGAATCTCATTTCTAAAAACAGCTTTGAGAATTGTTATTTAAGCAGATTGCAGATGCAGATTTTAAGAGTTCCCCATATAGTTCCACCTTGAAGAAACATTCCTGTCTAATTGTCAGTTGTTATAGTCTTTAAATATTTGGTTGCAGTCCTGGAGTTTGGGCAAGTAGTCTGCTGACCAAATTATACCCCAATTTATTCTGCCTTAAAAGTTAAACATTTCCGAAGAGTCATTCCAAATAGGTATATTCATATTGATCTCTAGTGTTGACCATCCCCCATTTGTAGTCATGTTCCCCAAACATTTCTGCTGGTACAATCTTACAAAAGTTTCTCAAAACATTAAAAATGTCACCATGTTAACTACTCTGTCACATCCTGACCTAGAGGAATTAAATTTGGATAAATTAAATTATTCCTTAAAAGGGAGCTACCACTTTTCTAGAAATTAAACCAATAAATAAATCATTCAGGAGTACTTATAATGTATGTTAACTTGCTTATTATGTTAAACTCTTTTCTCTTAATACTACATTAAAGTTTTGGTAAATAACATCATAATCTGGTTCAGTTCAGGCAAAGCAAAGGCAAACATTGCAAATTAAGAAGATAAATTGAACCATTGTTTCATTTTCCTCTTGTCTCAGTTTTATTTCTATGCAGATTTTCAGGGGACAAAGGACAGGGCTTATTATTATTAATATTTATAAAGTGGCCAAAAAATTTGCAGCGCTGTACACTGGGTGAACTAACTGGGTGAATTAACAGAAAAGTACGATTTGGACGCACAAGAACAGATGGAGTTGAGGGCCCTGATCAAATGAGCTTACATTTTAAAGTATAACAATGATTAACAGGAAGCTAAGATGGAGGCACCCAGTTCAGGATAAATAGGTGTAGGTTTCTACATTTTATTTTATTTTTCACACCTCACAAACACTTACTTCTTAAATTTAAGGATAAGTAAACATAATATTCAAAACCTTGAGAACAGTTTACCTTTAAATATGTGGTCTTTGTACCTTTAGGAGACATTGCAAAAATTGCAGTGTAAAGGACACAGGAAAAAAATAACTGAATAGTTTGAAAAGGATTTAGACAGGCGAAATGGGGGCTCATGCAGAGAGAAAAGGATTGAGAAGTGAAAAGGGCACATGTGGGATGCATTGGTGAGATGGGACTTTGATACACTCCTATCCCCTGACTCCTCATATCCACAACACCCACTGCCACTACTGCCGTTAATTATTTATATAGCACCAACATAATCTGCTGAGCTATACAATTTATAAAAACAAGACAAACAAAGTAAGTAAAAACAAGTTTGATGTATAGGAACATAACATCACAAGCAGAATCCCCCACAAGTAGCCTGTACAGTGTAATTGCCAAACCTCTGCTCTGGCGCTGTGAGTGTGCACACACAATTGCAGCTTTTGAATGCTTCTGAATGTGGAAAGGCAGGCACATGCTCGTACAGTGTGTCTCGTACTTCCGATAGCTCCAAGGAGCTAACAGAAATGAAAGAAGTCTCCATGGCTTTCTGATTGACATCCAGGGAGGTGTTTATGCACCCAATTATAAAAGGGTAAATTTCTCTTGAAATTGGCACTTTTATACACTTTCACAAATGTGGCAGGCTCCAGCCATATAAAACACTTCAGCAAGCTTAAGCCCTGGATAGGTTCTCAACTCACATGCCCACTTACCCATTAGGAGTACCTACCCTTATAGAGACAATATCTCAGTATTAAAATGACACCATTATTGCCATTGTTACACTGGTCAGCCACAGCATTAAAGCCACCTGCCTAATATCATGCAGGTCCCACTCGTGTTGTCAAAATAATTGTGATGTGTCGAGGCAAGATCTCTAAACGTGTCCTGTAGTATCTAGCACCAAGACATTAGCAGAAGATCCTTTAAGCCCTTCAAGTTGTGAGGTTGATGGATCGGATGTGTTGTTCCAGCTCCAGATGCTCAATCGGATTGAGAGCTGGGGAATTTAAAGACCAAGGCAACACCTTGAACAATTTTTGCAGTGTGGCAGGGTGCATTATCCTGCTGAAAGAGGTCACTGCCACCAGGGAACACCATTGCCACAAATGGGTGTACGTGGTCTGCAACAATCTCTAGGTAGTAGGTATTTATGTAAAGTAACATTTACATAAATGACTCACGGTCCTTCACAGCAGAACATAGCACTGCCTCTGCCAGCCTGCCTTCTACCCATAGTTTATCCTACTTCCATCTCTGACCAAGGTAAACGACGCGCACGCACCCAGCCATCCGTCTGATCTTAAAGGCAATGCAATTCATGAGGCAACCTTTTTCCCATGGTGCAGCTCTGACACTCATGTCCTCATTGAAGGTGCTTTCAGCAGTGGACAAGGATCATCATGAGCACTCAGACTGGGCTCTGGCTTCACAGCCCCATATGCAGCAAATTGTGGCACACTGTGTGTTCTGACACCTATGTTTGCCAGTACTATGTTTTTCAACAATTTGAGCTACAGTAGCTCTTCTGTATGATCAGACCAGATGGACTAGCCATTGCTCTCCACATGCACCTTGTGCACCCATGACCCTGAGGCCAGTTCACCAGTTGTCCTTCCCTGAACCATTTGCAATTTTGGAGATGCTCTGACCCAGTCGTCTAGCCAGGGTGGCCCTTGTCAAAGTCACCCAGATATTTTCACTTGTCCATTTTTCCTGCTTCCAACATATAAAATTCAAGAACTGACTGTTCACTTGCTGCCTAATATATCCCACCCCATTGACAAGTGCCATTATATAATCATTCTTATTTACTTCACCTGTCAGTGGTATTCTTGCTGTGTCTTATCAGTGTAAAAAAAAAAAAATCAGACAACCATACTGCAATCTGGCAGGGGAATGTCGAGTTTCACCTAAGGCCTCAAAAAACAGATCATAAGCAGATGGAAATCTGTATCCATATGGCCGCACCTGTCAGAGCTTGCTGGTACATTTCACTTGTGAACATTTAAAAGAGGAAGAAGACTTGCCTAGCCAGTTGATACACAGACCTCACATTGCTATCTTAACAGTCAGGAGTTTGCTTTTCCTCTATTGCCAAAAAAAATAAAAAATATTTTAGGGAGTAAACCATTTTACATACTGTAAATCTTTTTCCCTGAATCTTTAAGGCAGTACTTGCATTTATTTGACTCCATTCATACTTTAAATATAATGATCTAACCTCTCACAGCCCTTTGACCAGTGTAAGTAATTTCTCAGCCTGGACACACTGTCATACACAAGACACAAGTACTGCAAATAATTTTAAGCCATTTAGGGGGACAAACTTGTACTATTTTGAACACTGAGCTTAAAAGAATTTGCAGCAAGTAAAATTAATTTTCCACCCATCAGTTTTCAGCAGTACTTATATTTGGCAGGTAGCATGGCAACAGAGATGAGAAGCTCAGGTCTTCTAATTTTGAAACACCACTTGTAACACCTTGCTTCAAAAAGTCACATCTGTTGAGGCCAAAGGTCCACAAAGCATTTGGAAATGGTGGCGAGAGAAGATTCTGCTGCTGCTCTGCAAATCTGAGCTGCAGGAACTGAAAAGTCTTCATTACCCAAGAAGTTGAAACAGACCTGGTGGAGTAGTCTGAGATTTATTTGATAAAGAGTGGGTCATAGAGATCAGTTTTCTAATCAAAAAGGTCAACAGTTTGGCTGTAGTGGTTATGATGTGTGGAGTACTACACCACCCTTTTCCAGTAATGAAAAACAACAGTTTGCCCGCTTACCTGGGTACACACCGAGTCTTCTCTCCTGGTGACTTACAATATCTGGCTTCTGCAGACGCCACTCCTGCTCACCATTTATTGACTTTTAGCATCAGCTGATTGCCCTTAGCCAATAAATAAGTGTGTATGCATAGAAATAGGCAAAGAAAAAAAATTGACATTCCTCCGCTCAGAACTATGAGTAACCCTTCCACATTAGATGTATTCAAGAACTTATCAGACAAAAGGGTGTATTTGTAAAATCACTTTATGATTGTGGAAAACTGGCAGCAATCAGGAACAGGATTCCACAGACTCAAATGGAGACCTGCAGAAGGTAATCAGTACCAAGTTAAGATCCCAGGTTGGCACAATATTCATAGTTGGGCAGATATGCAGAGCTGGGTTGCAGATGAGCCTGACAAATATTTCTGAAGTGCAACTTGCATTTTGCAAATAAATAGTCCTTCGAGAATTAATATTTCTATTTAAGTGGTCTGAACATCCTTCTGGAGAGACGTATTTGATGTTGTTTTAATCAGCCACTCATGTACGGCTTGCAAATTGTTGATAGGAGAATAATCAGAATTTCTGAACCATATAACAAAACTACAAGACAGACTAAATAAGAAATTATTGAAATTCTAACTATACAGTGAAAGTAAGAATGGTCAGGAATTCAAAGTGCATTTCAAGTTTGAGGCCAAAATAACAGATGATGAAAGAAAAAAAAAAAAAATTCCAAATCAAATGTGTTTCTTTTTTGGCCTTAAATTAAATATTTACTTTGAATACCTGACAATTCTCACTTTGGTGAATAATTTTTTTTTTCTTATATACCAGAAGTTGTTAGACTACCAGTCATATTTCCTATTCTTATCATCTAATCTCAGTTTCTAGCCAGTCAGAACATAGCAATGCATTTCTATGAGAATCATTAATTTTCTTGCGTCCTGTGTTTGGATACAGTAAGTTATAAGAACTTCTAAAGCAAACACGCTGTGCTATAAGAAGGTCTGTTTAAAATTATACTTTTTTTTTTTATATATATAAAGCGCAAAAAAAATAAATAAATAAAAAAAGACATAATAAAAATGAAATGTTGCAGAAAGGAGTTATTGACATATACATCATTCCCCATGCAATGAAAAGAGTAGAGTCGTGCATCCAGGGCATTATTACATTTCTATTTACAACCACTGTACAGCAAGCATTGCAAAGCAGTTACTGGGAAAGGAAAGTACACACCACAGTTACTTACCCACTGAGATCGAAGGAATGGATTTCACCAACACCAGTGTAAAAGGAGTTTTTTTTTGTTTGTTTGTCTTATACTTTACAGAAAAGAAGGGGGGGGGACTCACAAAGGTTGCGCTAGCATTGCAATTAAAAAGATATTTTTTTCAGAGCTCTAGGTGTGGTTATCAAAGCAGAATAAAGTTATAATATTTATGGATGATCCAGGAGTAACATGGTTACCTAACTTTAAGAGAAAAATCAGAGTTGAGTAAGCTTTAAGGAGAAGGGTCTGGTAAAAAGGTTTTGGTTTGATTTTTAAACCTTTATTATATTCAGACAGATATATGAAGCCAATACATTATCATGTCATTACAGGTTTAGAGGTGCAAAACATATACAACATACATCTTATCAGGTGCTTATTAAAGCACAAGGCTGTGCTTGTAATCTTGTACACAGCTGTGAATATATCATCCTCCATCAGATTTCCTTGATTATAGCATAAAATGTTTCACAAAGAAATGATTATCCTGTTATGGCTTTCAATCTTATACCAAATCATGTGCAGGGGTGTTTCTACAAAACGTCATTTTTCAGATAAGACCATTCTAGCTTACTTTACAGTATAGAGTTTTAACCCGGTCTGTGTTTTCTTGGACAGTTTTAGCATGAAGGCACTTATGGGATACAGGAATAGCAAATTGCACACTATGTGAATTCACTTGCTGCCTAGATCAGAGAGCTTGTTACCGGATCAATAGGTTGCTAGCTTTGTTCTACATTCACAGGTACTATGTATATATTAAATTCAGTCATGTTGCATTGGATATTATATTTCATAGAGTGCATTAAATAAAAATAAATAAAAAATAAAAACATTTTAAAAGCCAAAAGCGATCTGCTTGAAAATGAATATCAGATCACAGGGAATCTAGGAGTACATATTTAGAGGCTTCAGAAAAGTTATTACTTTGATTTTGTGCCACTCATTGAGGCTGATCAATGGATGTGATCCTCGATGGATGAGCGCTCAACAATAACAGCCAGCCATTTTCATCGGAAGAATTAACTGGTTTCTGTCCTGTTATTTTTTTATGTGGCAGGAGTTTTTTTTTTTACCTCAGGTGGGGGCCCACACCGAGGTCAGGTACTTATAATCTTACATAGTGTCCCAGTAATGGAGGCACTTAATTAAGGTGCCGGTCTCGGTTTCCAAGCACCCTTTCTCATATATTTGTTCCATCATTATCGCTTGTGTGATTTTAGATTTCTAGCGGTAGAATAATTAATTTTCTTGATTATATTTGATACAATCTGATACACCACAGCCCCACACGCCAGGTTGCAACACGCTGCTTCACTTTTTAAAAACGGTTGCAACTTTCCTGGCCTGAGGAGCTTTGGTAGGAGCTATTAGTCTAGTAATATCGGCAGCTATAACAGCTGTTTATATGAGATTGGCTTTATCACTAGTAATCTAGTGGTAAGTATGTGAGGAGCAAGGGTTTAGCTATATGCTGTGATTTTGCTTTTAGTTTTTATTAAAGGACTATTTCCCTGATAGATACGGTCTCTTTTGGGTCTATATATATATATTATTTAGGAGCACACATATATTTTATTTTAAGTTTTCTTTCTTAAAGTCGCTTGCATATGTATGTAGCTGCCCAAATTAATTTACTAGTTCAAGTTACCAGGGATTTACTTTTGACAAATGGATGTACAAGGAATTGATTCAAACAAAAAGAAAATGTTTATCTATTGCATAGGGTATTAGAGTGGTTTGGTCAGCATAACACAAAATGTATATTTACCAAGTGATGGGCAGAGCATATACATGAAGTCTTGAGTGGGGAATTAGGAGATTGCTGTGGTGACCTGTGGGAGAGGCAGACCACAATTCCCACACCTGACTGGTTGGGTCAGCACATGAGCTGGCTGGGAGATCCTGTGATCTTATGTCAGCCTTGATTCATGTCCATTGTGGTATTGGCATAATGCCTGGGATGAGGCCAACATGTACCTACTATGCTCAGAGTGTCCCTTTACAAACTATATTAATAGGAGGGTGGATAAAAATCTGCATGAACAACAAGGTTCTCCTTTCTCCCCCCCCCCCCCTTTACATCTATAAAGTTTAGAAGAAACAGTTCAACTAAAACTGTACTCTCAATTTAAAAATAAATAAAAATTAATAAAAATTATAGTCAATTGCATATCCAGCTCAATCTGTTAATTTGTGATTGTCTTAATTAGTGTGTTGGGATTTGAGCTAGAGAAACTGAGATTTGACACTGGTGACAGTCTACAAAACACACATACACAAAATTAAACATCCACCAACCTGCCCAGGAATGTTTAGGCCTTTGTCAAGCCTACGTGTAAACAGCCCTAGCACCTTTATGCAGTGTTTCTGAGCTTCATCATTCTTTGTTGTAAGTCTGCCTGTGAGACACTTACACAATCAGGGCTCAGGATCCTTCACAGTAAGCGGAAAAGGAGCACTTCAGGAGAGGTGAGAAATTGTACAGCTGGCTCAACTACCACACACGCACCATTCAAATAACTGGACAGACAGAGGAAGAAGTACAATTTCCTTCTGCGACATTGGGTTGTAAGCTTATTTCAAAGTTATTTAGAGGGACTGCAGACTTCCTTACACCATAACATGTGCAAGACGCATACATTTTGGTGCACATGTGGAAGTGGTTAAATTATCCCCTATGTTAGTTTGACATTTCCATCACTTCATTTACTTGCATCATTCAATTTCTACTACATGGCTGGACATCACGTGGTAGGCAGTCAGCACCTTGTACATTAGGATTACATCACGGAGATGTTTGTTGACCTCAGTATAAAGGGCTGATGCAATACAAAAAAAGCAGACACATTTAACACAAACAAATGGGCCCAACTAGCCCTCCTTCCACCACCTTTGTAAAACATCAATTGCTGCCCAATTGTTTTTAGAAGTATAGCAATTATTAAAGTTTATGGGCAGTTCTCCATTGTCCTTTTTTGCCTTCAGAACTTACAGGGGGAGGTGACAATGACATTTAGAAGAAACATAATATTCTTGAGAGGTCAGTCTGACTGGACCTCCTTGAATGTAAAGGGGGGAAGGGGGAATACATTTTACTCATAAAACTAACAACATTTGTGTTGACACAATGCAGATCATGTTTGCACAAACTGAGCACATCTATTTTGACAACTTCACCCCAATTATACAACATTATAAAATAATATTAAAAAAAATAAAACATTCACCCAATTGGCAACCATGGGAAATTGTTACTTGGGGAAGTCAGTAAGAGAATTACCAATACAAAAGGTGGTTTTAGATAAAAAGGGTTTCTTCAAGCTTCATCTGTGTATTTTGTGGTGTTGTATTTTGCATTCATTAGAGGTTCAAAGCCTTGATGTTGTTTCCTGTGCATGAAGAGGAGTAGCAGAACAAGGAGTACAAGCAAAGCAAGAAGTATACCACCGACAGTAGAGGCAACTATAACCCCTATCGCACGACTGTCTCCCGAGTCTGCATTGGAAGAAAAGAAAGGAGGAGAGAGAGAAAAAAAAAAAAAGTAAGATTGTTTCATTATTGGTGAGTGACAGGAATACAATTGAAACCAAGCAGAAGCATGAAAGAAAGAAACTTGCAAAGAAACCCAAAGTGACAATCAAGGAACGAGAACACCTAAAGGATGTACAACACGGATAGTAGCAACGGAGCTGGTCTCAGTCATCTACAAGCCTCAATCTCCACCCCTACTCAAATTGGAATGCTTTATGCAAAGCCAATGAAATTAAAAAAGATACATTTAAAGTTCTGCAGAGTGTCCAACAAGCCAGGAAACTTTCTATAGCACTTCTGAACCTAAGCGCATGGATTTTATTTAAAAAAATTTGAATAGCGTTCGATTCAGTTGTCAGCTTTAAGGGACTCTCCAGTGCCAGGATCCTGTAGTGCCCTCCCTCTCTCCCCATGTTGCTGAAGGGGTTAAAACCCCTGCAGTGGCTTACCTGAATCCAGCGTCGGGTCAGGCTCTGCCCACGCCAGCCGGCAGGGGAGACCCAATATGCAGCACTGGCTGCGTGCACACATACACACGCTTTAGACCTCCCCATAGGAAAGCATTATTCAATGCTTTCCTATGGGGATTCCGGCAACGCTGGAGGTCCTCATAAATAGTGTGAGATCATCCAGCGTCATTTAAAAACACTTAATGTTTTAAGAAGCCGAAAGTCTCTCTAGTGGCTGTCTGGTAGACAGCCACTAGAGGAGGACTTAGCCCTGCAAGTGTAATTATTGCAAGTAATTATTAACTGCAATAATTACCTTGCAGGGTTAAGGGTGATGGGAGTTGGCACCCAGACCACTTCAATGGGCAGACGTGGTCTGGGTGCCTGGAGTGTCAATTTAATCCACAGAATGTCATGACAGCAGTATTTTTTTTTATTTTTATTTTAGAAAAACATTTGGAACAGCGGATTGGGATAGGGGCGAGGGAGAGGAGAGTTGAAGATAAACAATTATTACCTAGATATAATTGCCAAGTGAAGTCTGGCACAAAAAAAAAAATTATATATATATTATAGTAACCAACCTCATGCTGACGATTTGCATTTACAATGAAACAGCTGTCCATGAGTGGTTTAAATGTGACTCTTTGTTAAACTATTTTGCATATGCCCACGCAGAATCCTTTGCAGTAGTAACCACTGCAGATTTGTGATTTCTGTGGGAAAAGCAAGTCTTATTGCTTGACTGGTGTGCAGATTTTTATTTATCATTGTATTAACTATCCACAAACTTCAGGTGGAAGGGGTTTTCAATCACAATTTTCCCCCAACATAACCCTCTTGGAGAGAAAATGCCTATGACCCCAAGAACACCATCCTCATCGTCAAACATGGAGGTGGAAACATAATGCTTTGGGGTGTTTTTCTGCTAAGGGGACAGGACAACTGCATCACATCAAAGGGACGATGGACTGGGCCATGAACTGTCAAATCTTGGGTGAGAACCTCCATTTCTCAGCCGGTGCATTGAAAATGGGCATTCCAGCATGAAAATGACACACAACCAAGGCAACAAAGGAGTGGCTCAAGAAGAAGCACATTAAGGTCCTGGAGTGGCCTAGCCATTCTCCAGACATTAATCCTATAGAAAATCTGTTGAGGGAGCTGAAGGTACGAGTTGCCAAACGTCAGCCTCGAAACCTTAATGCCTTGGAGAGAATCTGCAAAGAAGAGTGGGCCAAAATCCCTTCTGAAGTATGTGCAAACCTGGTGGCCAACTACAAGGAACGTCTGAACTGATTGCCAACAAGGGTTTTGCCACCAAGTACTAAATCAAAGACTTATTTCACTCAGTGACATGCAAATCAATTATAACTTTGACATGCGTTTTTATGGATTTTGTTTTGTTATTTTTGTCTCTCACTGTTAAAAATACACCTACCGTTAGAATTATAGACTGATCATTTCTTTGTCAGTGAGCAAATGTTCAAAATCAGCAAGGGAACAAATACTCTTCCACCCCCCACTGTCATTATATATATATATATGCACACATAGCATAAGATTGCACCAGGGCACTTTACTATTCATTACATCAGGAAGGGTGAGTGCCATTATTTGTGCTTTATATGCATACATACATACATACACACACCTACCTGGTAAGTCTATAGCATAGGAGTATCCCAGTTGTTCAGCGGATTTGAAAAGCTCATCGTTTGTTACTGGAGGAAAGAATGGTACCATATTGTACATGCGATTGTGCCCTATTGGGGCAAGTTCTGGTGGCCACACAGCATCAGAGGGCTGATTACGTTTCATCCATTCATCAAAAATTGCGTCAGTAAAAGAATGAAGCACCTGGAAAGAATCTTAAGTTTAGTTTTAATTTCCAATACGTACTGTGGAGGAAAGATGGTGCAATTCAAAGGAAGCAGATAACAGGGTAAAATAAAAATAACAAGTTACCACAAATATGGGATCATTCGCAGCAGCGTGAGGTAGAGCGCTGGTTCCATTTAGGAAGGCATGTACCAAGTTATGGAGACTCACAGCAGGAAAGTCAAGGGTTCCATCTGGCTTGTCAAATCCTTCAAGTGCATTTCTATGAATGATATTGTACAAGGATTAGATACATTTCCTGCCACCATAAATAAAATATTCTGATGATTAATAGAAAACCTACTAGCTTACCGAAAACTGAAAGTGGAATTTGTGAAAAAGGGAGCATTGTCAAAGTCTTTAAGTGTGAGGCATTTCTGTATGTCTTCCTTGGAGGGCAGCAGTCCACCAGATCTATCTATTGGACTCCTCTGCAGAGGGCCTTCATTGGTTCCATTGCACAAGGTAACCAGGCGATTGTAGTCATCCAAACTAAAAATATATTTCAAATAAAATATAAAGAGCTATTTAAAAATGCAAGTAGCCATGTTACATTTTATAAATCTCCCAGTAACAGACATACAGCATTTAATGAATGATCAAATTGGTGTTTAATTTTCCATTAGTTTTCATGACATTTTAATACTTGACACACAGACATTAGTCTGTCATTACAGTGACACCTTAAAACAAATGCTTTTTTTTTTTTAAACCAAAAGGGAACTTAAATCATTGCCTCTGAATTGAATGTCAGATTCAGCCTTACCAAGCTTTCTAACAGATTAGATACCCAATTGGTGAATCTGAAGATAAATCTGCATTATATTGCATGTTTTCCCCTCTTATACACCAAGGCCTTTCTGTTCCCTCCTCCATTACTATAGGTTTGATATGACAACTAGTTAACGGTGGGTGTGATATACAAAAGACATCACGTAGCATACATCCACTGGTACAACGAATGTAGAGAGAGAGCCCTGGTGCATGAAAGGTAATTCCTCAACGGTTGTACAACACCTACAATGTTATCCCAGCTGGGGATCTACTATTTTGGGCTTCCGAGCCTGTTGTATTTGTGAGCAATACTTGTGGGTTTGAATGTAAGCACGTAGGGGTATATTTGTGTGTACCAGTGAAATTGGAATGCCGTGGTGTACTTCTACATAATTGTTTGAATGCAGGTGTGTAATGGTGGCTTTTAAATGTGTGTGTGTACATTTGTGTTTGAATAAAGGGGTGTTTGTAAGTAATGTTTGCATTTGATTGCAAAGTTATGCGTGCATGTAGGCTTACATACCCACACACGGATACATGTAATAATAGGTTTAGCCAGCCTCCTTTTAGCATACCTTTTGTGTGCAGGAGGGCAGCTTCCATGGGTCCTGAGGCTGATGGGAGTGTGGGGTTTGGAGTACTCTTTGCTTCTCCCTCCTTGCAGTTTGTACCTGCTTTTCCTCCTCTATGACTCTGGTGTGGCTCTCTGAATCTGAGAGGTAGTGAACTGCACCCACTTCCTCTCAGACAGCTGATGTGAGGGGCCTGGTCACACGGTTAGTGGGGTCCCTGCTGCCCATTGGGTGGCCTTAAGTGCAGGGGATCGATGAGCCACCTGAAAGTGTGGGCCCTGGGTACTGCCACACCAGCAGTATTTCCACAGCTGTATACATCTAGTTAGCTGTAGATAAGTACGAGTGGGTGCGTAGAGGAAAGGCAAGGAAATAAATAAAATAAAACCCACATGCACGTTACGTAACAAAACCATAAACCTGAGGCAGGAGCAAAGAAGTAATAAACCACTTAATTTAAAGCATTACCTGTTGCACACAATTTCCCAACGCGAAAATCTAGAGCCACCACTAATTAAATTTGGATCATCCAGTCTTGGGGCTCCAAACAACTCATCTGTACAGACATCACATTCATTACTGCCAGTGGCAAAGTCCCAGTATGGCAGAGCAAAAGAGTCATTGCCAAGCATTTTCTGTTAGGATAAGAAAGAGCGATATTTAATCAGTCATTCAAATACATTAAATACGTACAAGGAGTAACCACAAACAGGTTTGCTTACATCTAGGTGGAAAAAGTGCAAAGATGTCAAGAGGTTAAAAGTAATAATCCAATCACCATAACCATTACAGCCCTCTCTAATGGTTATGGTGTCCTGGCGCCCCTACCACAACAAGAAGACAAACCGTTTGAAAATGGCTTAACTTCCTGGGTACCCGCTGCGGCCTCCTCTCCTCTAAGTCAGTTGGAAACACTTAGTCTGTTAATTCTAGAGTAAAGTATAGGCAACTATAGCTAGATGAGAATGTCATTGGTCCACATGAGCTATTCAAGCAGCTTTGTCATTGTCTGATGTCTATCACCACACTGCCAGAGGAGCAGTTATACAGAGGGGTTTATCGTTATTAAATACTCCATTTGGAATGGTGGAGGTGCCAAAACCACTTTAACCGCCATTGATTTCAATAGGGACTCTACTCAGAAGAGTAGTTTGTGCCATGGTAAAAAAAAAAAAAATTATAATCATGCAAGATGTCAACAACCTTTCTTCAAGTTGAGCAACATGGTACTTCCAAGGCATTTATCAAAACATCTCTGTGACGTTTCACTCTCATGTCATGAGTATCATCTTAGTTGTTATACAATACCTAATTTTTCCTCAAGCCACAAAGTCATATTAGGTTTATATTAAACATCAGGATGAAATGCTTTGTATAATAACCTGAATATCTCTTTCCAAAAGTAACAGGTGGTATCGATGCCAGGTAACAAATGCAGGTCCTTGATGAGAAAAATCTATTCCTTTGAATGGACGTCCAGGCGCTGCAAATCAGATAATATTCAGTATAGGTCAAGAGACACCATGGGCTGAATTTGACCCATATTTTATTGCATAAAAAAAAAAAAAAAAAATAATAATAATAATAATAATAATAATAATAATAATAATACATATGAAGTTCATGTATTTACTGGAGGAAAAAACAAAAATATCCAGGTTAAGGGTTTATAACAAGCTCTAACCAAACCAATAATTGCTTCATAAACTTTCTAGAAATAAATTTTTATACTCAAATACAATTTTTGTTCTCACAGCGTTAACCTTTGGCCCTCCAGTTGTTATGGACATCATCTCCCATAATGCTTTTAAAGCCAGAGTGCTGGCAAAGCATCAGGGGAAATGTAGTGCATAACATCTGGAGTGCCAAAGGTTGCCTACCTGCTGAATTTTCCCAAGCCCTTTAAAAGGTATGAAATATATCAAAACTAATTTGTACCAATTCAGATTTCAAAGACACAGAAGTACGAAATGCAAGTCAATGTTTATTAAAAGGAAAACATTATGGTGCTTCTATTGGATATGGGATTAAAAAGGGATTATTTAAGACACTTAGTTTATTTTGAGAAATTGTGGTTTAAGGTTATTTTTGTTTTCAGCTTGGTGATCAGATAATGTGTTTGTTGACCAAAATGAAAACCAATTATCTATATTTTATCATCATCATCTTTGTTAAAGGGACTCTCCAGGACCCTGCAGTGCCCCTCTCCCTCCCACCCCACATTGCTGAAGGGGTTAAAAACCCTTCAGTGACTTACCTGATTTCAGCGCCAGTGTCCCTCGGCGCTGGGTCAGGCTCTGCCCACGCTCCTGCCCCGCCGTCAGGGGAGACCTAATGCGCATGTGCGGCAATGACCACGCATGTTAGACCTCCCCATAGGAAAGCATTACTCAGTGCTTTCCTATGGGGATTTCGGCAACGCTGGATGTCCTCATGTATAGCGTGAGGACATCCAGCGTAGTTTAAAACACGGATGTCTCTCTAGTGGCTGTCTGATAGACAGCCACTAGAGGTGCTTAGGGGGGTCTGCCTTGACGTTAGCAGGCAGGCATTCCCTCCAATGGCCATTGGAGTAACTAAATAACCTCCATTTGTCTAAATATACATAGGGATTAAGGAGAGAGCGCAAGTAACTCTTCTTTGGTTTTTAACAATATATTGGGGCTGATGTGTACTGTGGTCATTGCTGCCGCCCAGGAGTGATGGGAGTGAGCGCAGAACTTCTCTTTTTGTATTTGTATTTACTTTGTATCACACAGCCTTGTTACAATGCTGCCGCCCATCCCATGAGTTCCCTATTAAAAGTATAGAGGGGTGTATATAAAAAATACCCCTCTCTGTCTCTGTCTTTGCCAGAAGCTCAAGGAAGCAAGGTGAAGGGTCAGTGTAGGACCCGCTTAAGGGGGTCTGCCTTGACTTTGGCTGGCGGGCATTCCCTCCAATGGCCATTGGACCTCCATCTGTCTAAATATACATAGGGATTAAGGAGAGAGCGCAGGTAACTTTTTTCCTCCTTTGGTTTTTAACTATATATTAGGGCGGATATGTACTGTGGTCATTGCTGCCGCCCAGGAGTAATGGGAGTGAGCCCAGGACTTATCTTTTTGTTAAAGGAGGACATAACCCTGCAAGGTAATTATTGCAGTTTATAAAAACAGCAATAATTACACTTGCAGGGTTAAGGGTGGTGGGAATTGGCACCCAGACCACTTCAATGGGCAGAAGTGGTCTGGGTGCCTGGAGTTTCCCTTTCAATTATACAAATCTTATAAATGCTAAAAAGGAGCAAGTTTTTTGTGAAGAAATCGGTCCATTTAGTTTGCCAAAACCCAATATCTTACAATGTTTGCGCATTTATAAAGCAGCACTACAGTTCAGACACTGCGTTATCAGTACCAAATTCTGTCCACCCTGGATGGCATTTATTTGACTGCTGTGGCAGGTTAGACCTGGTAAATTAGTATAAACCAAGTATGAGGTGCTAATTCAGAAAGTTAAACAGAAACAAGGAGAAGAGGTTTTTTTAAATAAAATCTTTTGAAATATAGCTCTAGATAATGGCTACATGTTTGTGTTTTTTTAATGCCCATAATTAGATGGGACACTCCAAGCATCATAACCACTTTATATTAATTATATGATACTTTTACCTTATCCTCCCTTCATTATAGTAGTTAGAGTTTCAATGATGTGCATGTGAAAAAGCCAACAAACACAAATGACGCCACTTTATAGGTTAATAGAATCCAACCGGCTTACAATAACTTGCTGAATAGTCTCAATCGTGTCATTTCAGGAGTATGCTTACTCAGCCAGGTTTGCTGATTACCGCACATATTTCAACACCTCTACATATCCCCAAAACATGACATTCTAGACTACACATAGAACTTCCATTGAAAAAAAAAATAGCAGCTATGGCATTGACTGAGAAATTTACTGGAAAGTATTTTGTTGCTGGTCATCTCTGTGAACCCTAGGGATTTGCAGCAAATAAAAGGAAAAAAACAGTGGTAGTTTCTAGTTTTTGGAAGATGTACCTATATTCTGGGAAGCATATTGAAAAGTAACAATTTACTCTTAAAAAAGGCATTGAATAACTGAACGCAAGTTCAAGAAGAGACATACACAGACATACCTAGCAATGTATCCCTCACAGAGTAGTAATGCAGCCACACAAAGTAGTTATAGATGCTTGCATTTTCGATTTGTGGTTCAGTTCCATTGGGCCCGAGAAGACTTAACCAATGCTGCTTGGCAATCACATATTCTGGATGAATTGTAGTCTTAGCTTGATCCAGTGCGTCCAAAAACTGGGCTCTTTCCACAGCGGTTAAAGAATGAATATTCTTGCGCACAACAAGGGGCTTCCTTTGATCGCAGTTGGCTCCAGTCCAACCAAACTTGCACTCTCCACAGTTATATCCTCCAAAGTTTCCTGTTTCAACACAATATTTTAGACAAGAGTTTAAAAATAAAAGCTAAGACATGTTAAAAATGTCACATTTGGGCAGGGGGGGAAAGAGATATGCAGGTCCTTTTATATATTTGTTTAGGAATCTTGTATTGGTCTACGGACTCTGGTTTTCAAATGCATGTCGTTATGTATTGCTTGGTATTCATTTTCTTATATTTTGCAACATGTGCCTTTTAGTGTAAATTGTTATAAAACGCATCCCTAGCACCTACTGTAATAGGAAAGATGGACAGCCAACGGTTTGCCAATGACGACAAGTGTTTTAATGTTGAAGGACACATAAGCCACATTTAGGGAAGCATATCAACCCTTAGACAATAACGGAGTCCTCTCAGAGCACATCACCAAATCAGGATAAAACTAGTTAGCTTATTGGCCTACTACATAGATTTGTCCTTCATACATTAATTGCATATGTTAAAAATCAGTGATACACTTTCTTTTAAAGAAAAATATTTTTTTCAAATGTTTGGCAAAGCAATTAATAGTAAAGGATACCAGTGCAGTATTTGTTCAGCAATTTAGTTAATAATCTTACATATACATACTTTAAATGGATGTATCACTCTAGACATGTCCCGTTATATATTCAATAAGACAGAAGGTCACGATTTAACCTTAAAAGAATGGGAATAAATGCCAAAAAGTGTTTTCAAAGCTCACTTGTGATCACGTGTTTTAAATCTCATGACTAACTTTTTCCCAGGCAATAGGCCTTTAATACAGATACGTGAGAACTCTTGACAGCAAAGCATTCATAACTTATAAGGAGGAATTGTGATTTCTTTTTTATTAGAATGATAGTTGAAAAAAAAAAAAAAAAAAGGAGAATCCTCAGATTGAAGTCATAGCAAAGGCAATGATTTGATTTGTATTCCTAATGCAACAAAGAAAGAAACAATATATTTCAGACCAATGTTAATGTCAAACATTAACCCAGCCTGAGAATAGAAAAAGTTTTTAGTTACAGTTCTAAACACTATTTGTTGGCACCAATGAGCCAAATTTATCATCAAGCACTCATATATACTCATAAAATAGCCTACATTACATGTTGGATTATTTGCCTGAGATGTACAGGTAGGCTAAGGCATTTAGCATTCAAAACATAAAATTTGCCCAGGATTAGAAAATAAATAAATACTGTTTCAGAGAAGACTAGCCCTCTTTCACAGTCTGTCATATACTCTTCAATGGAGCATAAGATGAGAACAGATTTACGGTGTTACTGTAACCCTTTTTAATATTTTAAGTTATACTGCTCGATATTGGGCACTAGTTACAACGTCCAGCCCTTTTCTACTGCCAAAAGCTGGAGAAAATCGATATAAAAATATATATTTCTCAATGCAGGGAGGTTTGAGAGGAAGCAGGTTATCCCCCAGCGCGGCCTGCAAGGCTAGTCATTAATGTACAGAATTAACATTAGGCATCTCGGAACAGAGTCACATGAGCCAGGGGTGCAACTATTAACTGGCACAAAAGTGCCGATTTTAAGCAGGAACACTACAGATTTCACTTCTTTAAAAAAATAAATTATGTGGTCGTCGAGGTTGAAGTAACCATAGACTAGTGAAAAGATTCATGACACATAGCATTCTGAGGAGAGTTCACTAAATGTCACACAGCAATATGAAGTATCTCCGCATTAAGTTGCAACAAGAATGCAATTAAAACAAAAAAGAAGAACACGTCACCAGAACACTTGACTGAAGTCAAAATAGGTGGGGTGTCATATACAATAATTTATGGTGCTTTTATAAACCAGTCTGTCATATTTAAACTATATATACACACACACATAGAATCAGTAAACAGTCTAAATTAGCAAAATAAAATAGGATAGATCCTACTGTTTAAATAACTTGGCTATATAGAATTATTACTGAATTCAATAGAACATATCACATAGAAAAGAATAGCCAACAGAATATATACACAAAGTTTAACCCCTTCAGGACGAAGTCAATAGTACACGTTCTGATCAAAACGTAAACAAAAACTGGAATTTGCGCTATATGTCTGTTCATCCGTAATTCACCGCTGTCACATTAAGTGCACCCACACTTATTATATATAATTTTGTTCAGGAGAAACAGGGCTTTAATTTATCATTCACTATTCATATATGGAACATAATTTATTAGGAATGAAATTAAAAAAAAAAAAAAATGTGAGAAAATAAGATTTTTTTTTAAAATTTGTATTTCCGTCTGACATTTTAGCTGTGAATGTCATAATACTGTTAGGTTTTACTGCAAAAAAATTAAAATGCACATATTTGTAATCAGCGATGTCTCTCGAGTACAACAGTACCCCCCATTAACAGGTTTTATGGTGTTTTGGAAAGTTACAGGGTCAAATATAGAACGTTCCATTTTCAAATTGAAATTTGCCAGATTAGTAATGTTACCTTTGAGACGGTGTGGTAGCCCAGGAATGAGAATTACCCCATAATGGCATACCATTTGAAAAAGTAGACAACCCAAGGTATTGAAAGTGGGGTATGTTTAGTCTTTTTTAGTAGCCACTTAGTCACAAACACTGGCCAAAGTTAGCGTTCATATTTGTTTTTGTGTGAAAAAAGCAAAAACTAATATTTGGCCAGTGTTTGTGACTAAGTGGCTACTAAGAAAGACTGGACATACCCCACTTACAATACCTTGGGTTGTCTACTTTTGCAAAATGTCAAAAACATGAAATGCAAGCCTTATATGTGACTCTCTAACTTTCCAAAACACCATAAAACCTGTACATGGGAGGTACTGTTATTCTCGGGAGACTTCACTAAACACAAATATTAGTTTTTCAAACTGTAAAACTATTAAACAATATATAGTCCATAATGTGTCGTTCTGTTATTCTCGGGAGACTTCACTAAACACAAATATTAGTGTTTTCAAACTGTAAAACATATTACAACAATAATATAGTCCATAAAAGTGTCGTTCGTTTGTAAAAAATGCAAAAAATTGCACTTTTACTTAAAATATCATCATTGTAATACATTTTAACCAATTTGAAACACTAATATTTGAGTTCAGCGAAGTCTCCTGAGTAAAACAGTACCGCCTATGTACAGGTTTTTTGGTGTCTTGGAGAGTTACAGGGTCAAATATTGTACTTGCGAATTAAATTCTCTGCACCTTTCTCCCTGTGTTGTCAGGCATGTCAATCAAATTTTAATTAATCAAATCACATAATTATGTTAAAAGATTACTTAAATATACATGTAGAATTTTAATATATATGCATTTATAGGTATTTAAATTCTACGTGTATACTAATGTAATCTTTTATGTAATTATATGTATTTATCTATATATATATATATATATATATATATATATATATATATATATATATATACGTAGAATTTAAATACCTATAAATGCATATATATATCAAAATTCTACATGTATATTTAAGTAATCTTTTAACATAATTATGTGATTTGACTAATTAAAATTTGATTGACATGCCTGACAACACAGACTTCACTAAATATATATGTAACGTAATATATTTGAATATTAATATAAGTACATATATTAGTATTAAAATACACTTAGAATGACGTTACATACATATATATATATATATATATATATATACACACACACACACACACACACACATCTATTTTAATTTTATACGCGTCTAATCATTTTAATACTTCCCACCAGCAGGGGGACTGTGACATTTTAGACAGTCCCCCTGCTGGCAGATCCACAGCCAGCTATAGGGGGCCATGTGACCCCCGGGGGCCTCATTTGCCAGGGGAGGGCTGCACCTCCTGGGGCTGCTAGCCGTTACGGCTAAAGGACCACTCTAGCTTAATGAAGTGGTCTGGGTGCCAGGTCCCTCTAGGATTAACCCCCTTTTTTTTTAATAAAACAGTTTATAAATGGGTTAATCCAGCCTCTAAAGGCTGTCTCATTGACAGCCGCTAGAGGCGTTTGCGTGCTTCTCACTGTGAAAATCACAGTCAGAAGACGCCAGCGTCCATAGGAAAGCATTATGAATGCTTTCCTATGAGACAGGCTGAATGCGCGCGCAGTTCCTGCCGCGCATGCGCATTCAGCCGAAGAGGAGGATCGTAGGCGGAGATGAGGAGGAGAGCTCCCTGCTGGAAAAAAGTTAAGTTTAACCCCTTTCCTTGCCATCCAGCCCGACGGGAGTAGGACCCTGAGGGTGGGGGCACCCTCAGGGCACTATAGTGGTCCTTTAACCGGCGGTCTTAAGGAGACAGTTTAAATAATCTATCATTTATTTAATACTTGTGCTATGTCAGAATGTGCCTAATTTTAGAAATAGGCACACACATACACATCCTACCCCTAAATGTTTATTTGCTAAACACAGAATTGCAGTGAAGAATTTTTTTTAGCCTGACATTCACAGTTCCTGTCTCCACATAAAAATACTCTGTCAGTTGTATCCACTAAAGTGGGGATGGTCAGGAATGCAAAAGGTTTTTCATATTGATCACCAAAGTAGCTGAACTGAAAAAAAATACACAAGACAGCAATGCTTCCAGTTCAACTACTTTGGCCTTAACTTTGAAATTCACAACACATTTCAATAAAATGTATAACCCCCTGAGAGTTTTATTCCTATTTTATGTACCAATATGAAGCAGCGATCACGGAGTTTGGGGCAGCGAACTGACACTTTAGAATATCATTAAGCAAAAAGTTCCTGAAACCAGCTAAACTCTTGGTCCATACGTGGTATGGCAGCCCGGCAGAGATGGTCCCTCCCCAATTTTGCTCTGTAGAGCACTTACCTGCACACCTGCACGTGGCGTTGAAGAATTTGAGCGGCCAGCGCTCCCGGTCATCCACATTGCGCAGAGTATACGGTCCGCTCCACGGCCGGTCATCCACTACCACGTTCACACACTGCCCCCTCCCCTGCAAGGTGCCACACTCATTGGCCGGATCAGAGCCCAGGGCCGGGCAGCACCGCTTGGCCACCAACGTGGGCACAGTCATACACACCCGGGGGAACTGAGCCTGGGCCAGCTGGATACAGGACACGGCCAGCAGGAGCACAGTAGCCACATTCCAGGAACCCATCATATACTGCACTCACACTCTAACTATACTCACTTTAGAGTAATACCCCGCAACTACACTCACACTCCAACTACACTCACTGCAGATCAATACCCCCACAGGCTGCTGTCACACTCCAACTACACTCACTGCAGAGCAATACCCCCACAGGCTGCAGTAACACTCACTGCAGAGCAGCCACTGTCCAACTGCAGACAGCTAGAACTCAATTAACTTAATATTGGGAGGACAAACTCCACGCCTCTTGTTTTCCACGCTTATTAAAATAATTTCCAAATTATATACTATATAATCCCTGCTCCTCACTAAATCCCAGGTTCAGACTGTATAACTGATTTACTAGTCATTATTAAGAGCCCAATTCCAACTCCCTTGCTCATAAAGCAGCTGTGTGAGCAAGCCAGCACCAGGATTATTTATATACACACTGGGGGTGCTGCTGGGGAGAGTGGGATTAGGGATGAAGGTATTCTCGTGCAGAGCATATGACAAGGAAAAGAAAGGATGTGCCTGGTGTGGAGTGGGAGATGGACATCATGTGCCACGAAGTTCTAAACATTCCTTAGAGCATTTACTACACAGCAAAATGTTCATAAATGGTTACTGGCAAAATGAGTATAATTGTTTTAGTGTGCTATTAACTCCTCCAAGGTACAAAGAAGACGTTTGGCACTTAAAAGAAGTAACGACTAAACTAGGAATTGTTAGGAATTCCAGATCAGATCTAAATTTTTTAATCTAATCTAAAACTTGTAATTCCCTTGATCCACAATCCTCAATTTAGTGTATAGAGGCAGTGGAGTTAAATAAAACATAAGTAACCAACCATGCATTATTTCATGAACTATACATGATATGTGGCCCCAAACATTGGACTTGTGTCTTGATTTGACCTTCCAATGTCCTGTTAAGGCTGATTACCTATAGAAATTGGTTATCTTATGTACTGGAACAACAAAGTGCTGTAGTACCAGGCAGGGCCGGACTGGGAAAAAAATTAGGCCCGGGCATTTTTCAATTAGAGCGGCCCCCTAAGAAGGGGGCGGGGCCAGAGAGGGTGTGTTTTGTCATCACTAATGACAAGCACGCCCCCTCTGAAAGTGAGCATGTTGGTTCAATGCCCAGAGCCCTGCTGAAGAGCTCTGGCATTAGAAAAAGGCCCTGTATTTGTTCTGCCCAGCGCAAGCAAATGTAATAACATGCTTGCACTGTGTTTGCTTTTAAATTGTCTCTGGTGTCTCCACAAGTGGGATACCAGAGGACAAAAGGGCCAGGAAAGTGTATGGTGCATGTGTTTGGAGCCTGCTTGTGGGATTGCCTGTGTGTAGAGTGTGGTGTGGTATTGTGTAAATAGGTCGATTTTGTGGTGTAATATGTGTGGCTAGGGGCTGTAGAGAGTGCGTGTATAGGGGCATAGTGTTATAGGGGATGTAGCGAGTGTGTGCATATGGGCAGTAGTGTGTGTGTATAGGTGACGTAGTGTGTGTAGGGGTTGTAGAGAGGGTGTGTTTAGAGAATGTTGTATGTGTTTGCTTACAAGGAATGTAGTGTGTGTGTAGGTGGTGCACTGTGTGTGTGTAAGAGATCTAGTGTGTAAAGGACCCAGAGTGTGTATAGAAGATTGTGTGTGTGTGTGTGTGTAGAGGATTAAGAGTGCATATAGGGTAAGGGATCTAGCGTGTATCTGGAGCGTAATGTGTGTAGTGGTGCAGTGTGAGGGGTGCTGTAGTGTGTGTGTATATATATATATTTGGACGTATTGTATGTGTGAGGTGCGCAGTGTGTTTGTGTAAGAGGGGTGCTGTGTGTTAGGGTGTTTTTATCTGCCGTCACATTCTAGGTTTCTAATTTTCTTTGTCTGTTAACTCACTGAGGGTTATTTTATATAATATATATGTGTCTCTGGGTGTGCTGTGTGTGTCTGGGGGTGCTGTGTGTGTGTCTGGGGGTGCTGTGTGTGTGTCTGAAGGTGCTGTGTGTGTATCTGGGGTGCTGTGTGTGTGTGTGTCTGGGGGTGCTGTGTCTCTGGGGGTGCTGTGTGTCTGGGGTGCTGTGTGTGTTTGGGGGTGCTGTGTGTGTTTGGGGTGCTGTGTGTGTGTCTGGGGTGCTGTGTGTGTATCTGGGGGTGCTGTGTGTGTTCTGGGGGTGCTGTGTGTGTTTGGGTGCTGTGTGTATCTGAGGTGCTGTGTGTGTGTGTGTGTCTGGGGGTGCTGTGTGTGTCTGGGGTGCAGTGTGTGTCTGGGGGTGCTGTGTGTGTGTGTCTGGGGGTGCTGTGTGTGTATCTGGGGGTGCTGTGTGTGTTTGGGTGCTGTGTGTATCTCGGGTTGCTGTGTGTGTGTCTGGAGTGCAGTGTGTGTCTGGGGGTGCTGTGTGTGTGTGTCTGGGGGTGCTGTGTGTGAGGGGGCTGTGTGTGTCTGGGGGTGCTGTTTGGGAATTAATTTTATATATATATATTTTTTTTTTATTAATAATTTTTTTTTTTAAGTTATGTCTCCCCCCCTCCCTTCTTACCTTTAGCCTGGGAGGGGGAGGGAGCCGTTCTGCCTGGGAGGGGGAGCCATGCTGCCTTCCCTGGTGGTCCAGTGGTGAGAGTGAACTCTAACCTGTAGGTTAGAGTTCACTCTCGCGAGATCTGAGCGTTGCCGCGGCAACGCTCAGAATCCCGCGAGAGGACCCGGCGGAGCTGCTTGTTAGAGCTCCGCCGGGTCCTCCCTCCCTCCCTCACCCAGCTGGCGGCCGCATCTCCCTGTCTGTGGGCCGGTGAGGGAGATCTTTGATCTCCCCACCGGCCCATGGAGGCACTATGCAGGGCCGGCGCTCGGATAGCGCTGGCCCTGCAGGGGCCGGCCGGGGAGATCCCCTGCCGGCCTTGGCCCCACGGCCATCGCGGCCCACCGGGCATTTGCCCGGTATGCCCGATGGCCAGTCCGGGCCTGGTACCAGGAGTTAATACATCTTGGGTTAAAGAGATTTGACACTTGGGGTTAGGATTAGAAGAAAGTCGTGTTAAAGAGTTACTCCAAACACCATGAATACTTCATTGATTTGAATTGGTTATGGTGGTAAGAGAAAATCTTGGTGTGCAGTAGTTCTGCTTGAAACCCTGCACATTCAGAGATATTTGCACTACTGTGCTGGGGGGTAGTTACACCCCTGGCACACGTGACTTGGGTAGCCAAGAACTCCGGGTTGCCTAATGTCAAATCTGTGCAGAGCACCTGCAAGAGGAAGATCGCTTTTCCCTCCCAGCAAGGGGCGTACCTGGAGCATTTGGCACCCGGGGCAGATCCTATATTTGGCACCCTGCCCCTCTCCCCCCCAGCTTAAAAAACACTGACACATTTTTTACATGTATTGAGCACTGAGCAGTGTTTGTATTTTTTTAATATATGTATATTTAGCACTTTGTGTCTTTGAATGTAAGCATGTTTGCACGTACTGGCATTTGAATGCAGGTGTGCATTTTTCTGTAGTGTGGTTTTTGAATATGGTGGTGTGTTTTTATGTAGTGTTGACATTTGGATGCAGGGTTGTATTTGTGTGTAGTGTTGGTGAAATTCTGAGATGTATGCACATATACTCACATATACACACACTGGCACATATACACAGATACAAACACACACATACAGACACACACAGAGAGACACACTGATACACGTATGCCAAAACACATACAGACACACATGTATAAGTGTGTGTTTGTATAGTGAATGCAATGTGTTTGCTTGTATAGTGGATAATGGTGTGAGGGAGGGGAGGTGATGATGAGAGGGAGGGAGGGGGGTGATGAAGAGATGGAGGGGGTGATGGTGAGAGGGTGATATTGAGAGGCAGGGGGGTGGTGGTGAGAGGGAGGTGGGTGATGAGGGGAGGGTGATGGTGAGAGGGAGGGTTATGGTGAGAGGGAGGGTTGATGGTGAGAGAGGGGTGATGGTGAGAGGAGGGGGTGATGGTGAGATGGAGGGGGTTGATGGTGAGATGGAGGGGGGTGATGGTGAGAGGGAGGGGGTGATGGTGAGAGGGAGGGAGATGATGGAGAGGGGTGATGGTGTGAGGGAGGAGGGTGATGATGAGAGGGAGAGGGGGCGATGGTGAGAGGGAGGGAGAGGGGGTTATGGTGAGAGGGAGGGAGAAGGGGTGATGGTGAGAGAGAAGGAGGGTAATGGTGAGAGAGAGGGAGGATGATGATGAGAGGGAAAGGAGGTGATGAGAGGGAGGAGGGTGATGATGATAAAAGGGGGGTGATGGTGTGAGGGAGGGGGTGATGGTGAGAGGAGATGTTGAGAGGGAGGTGGTGGTGGTCCAGTGTGGGCTCCCTGGTGGTCCGGTGGTGATATCCAGTCTGCAGTGTGCAGAGCTGCAGACCATGAATCTTGCGAGACCCAGTCAGAGCGTTGCCGTGGTAACCTGCGGCAACGCTCTGATTGATCAGATCTCGCAAGACACATAGTGTGCAGAGCTGCATGGGTGCAGGAGGGACATCGCACACGGAGGCATATCGAACAAGCCACCGGGCCCTCTCCTGTTGTCGGTTTCTCAGTCAGTGACTCAGGACCCGACACAGTCTGATCCGGGCACTCAGGGCGGACCGTCCTCTCCACCCCCCCCTTGGTACACCACTGATCCCACCATTGCTTAATTAATTAATACATTTTTTTCTTTAATTAAAAGAAGCCTGTGATTAAACCTCACAAAGCCCCCTATTAAGTCAGACAGGGAGATCAGGGCAGTGGGCTTTGCATGGGATTGAACTGCAGGTAAATTTGAACTTTGTTTCTTTGCGTTTTGGGGGTGGGGACTAATAGCAATGCCTTATTGGGCATTGTAAGCCTAATGGTGTAACTCTTAACTTTAGTGTAGATTGGATTAGCCGTATTAGTCCAGCTGTAAAAAGGAATCATTGCACACTGCATCTTTTGGCATTTTTAACTTTAGTATTAGATTTAGAGTTAGAAAAAAGAAGAAAGCTAAAAGTTACCTCTGTTCCCACGCCAAGGCAATGTTCTCCCTGCAATCTGAACTTTATTGTCTGACATCACTCCCCCTTGCTGAGGATAGACATGTGAGTGTGGAATTACTGTAAGGAAGACATGGGTAGCACAGAATCAGATTACAAATTTGCACTTAATTCACATTAACCAGACCATAATTCTGGTTCTGAGTTGGTTAATAATGCCTCAATGTTGCATCCAAACGTGGAGTTACACTTCCGGCTTCAGACGGATTATAACTCTGTATGTTCATAGAGAAACACTGCACATACTGATTCCAGGCCCCATGACCACTTCAAATCAGTGACGTAATAGTGGTGCTTGGGGTAACCTAAATTCTTTGCCTAATTTGAAATCTCCCCTTAACATTAAATTTCCCAACTTCCAGTGCTGTAACCAGAAAAACCCACTGCAAATATTGTTACTCACTTTACAGAACCTCTTCAGTATGCATAGGTACCAATACTTTATTGTTCACATCATAGATTGTTCTATAAAAGTGTAACCCTTTTCTTTCTTTTTTTTTTTTATTCTTTTTTTTTTTGTTGCGCAGGTGAGTACAAAAACATTGACAAGCGCCACAACAGCGTACAAGTGCGTATAAACAGGCTAAACAGTGACAGAGACAATTGTACATTTTTTGTTTTCGAGTAAAGGCTTAACAGAATTATGCTAGCTACAGGAGAAATGGAATATGGTACAGCTAAAGGTCACTGAGCATACAATCTGGTTGATGTTTAGGTATTAGATACTAAAATTAAGAAACGTGGAACCATAATTCTTGTCTTATGTTGAGCGGGCTCCACTAGCCGAAATTTTCATTGTTTCAGTGAACTATAACATGTGATAAGAATAATAATCTGACTAACCCTGCTTGTCTAGTGTATACGCGTGTATAAACAGGCTAAACAGTGGCATAGAGAATTACGCATTTTTGTTTTGGAGTACAGGCTTAACAATATTATGCCAGCTACAGCAAAAATGTAACGGCATTCCTGTTGTGTGTAGTGGGCTCCCTAAACAAATGCTTTCATTACTTCAGTAAAGTAAAACATATGATAGTAATAATAAAAAAAGGCTAACAATGCTTGTCTAGGTTAAGGTTGCTTAAATAGAGCAAGAAGCCAGCACGATCCCCCTAAATGATGCAGGTATCGCTTATTAGGCAGCATAACACTATGTGCAATTAGTGAGGTTAACCCTTTTCTTTTTTATGAATGAAAACATTAACATTTAATATTTTTTAATAACTCGGCAATAATCCTAACTTGGGTAGTTTTTCTTCATTTTTAACATTTGGTGTTTATTGACTAACCCTGAAAGGGTAGAACATTGAGCATACCCTTCATTTAAAGGGACACGATAGTTACTAAAACAACTTTAGCTTAATGAAGCAGTTTTGGTATATAGATCATGCTCTTCTGTCTCAATGCTTAATTATCTGCCATTTAGGAGTTAAATCACTTTTGTTTCTGTTTATGCATCCCTAGTCACACATGGTTTCCTTTTTATTCAGACATAATTTACTTTAAAAGTTTTTATCTCCTGCTCTGAGAATTGAACTTTAATTACATACAGGAGGCACCTACAGGGTCAAGCTAATTACAGAGCAGGAGATAAAAATTCTAAATAAAACAGAATTTGGAATGAAGGAAGTGTAAACATTAGATGACTCTTTACAGGAAGTCTTTGTAAGACACATGCAGGGAGGTGTGACTAGGGCTGTATAAATAAAGTTATTTTAACTCCTAAATGCCAGATAATTGAGCAGTGATACTGCAGGGGCATGATCTGTACACTAAAACTGCTCCATTGTGCAAAAGTTGTTTTGGTGATTAAAGTGTCCTTTTAAAGACCATTAAATTCACCCAGACCAGCGGCCCTTTTGTGTTGTTTTTTTTTTTTTTACAGAGTTAAACACAAGTGATGTCCCGAACGGGGTTCGCGAACGGTTCGCCACGGACTCATCATTGAGTAAACTTTGACCCTGTACCTCACAGTCAGCAGACACATTCCAGCCAATCAGCAGCATACCCTCCCACCTCCTGGACAGCATCCGTTTTACATTCATTGTGAAGCTGCATTCTTAGTGAGCTGTCCAGGAGGTGGGAGGGTCTGCTGCTGATTGGCTGGAATGTGTCTGCTGACTGTGAGGTACAGGGTCAAAGTTTACTCAATGATGAGTCCGCGGCGAACCGTTCGGGACATCACTATTAAACACGCCTTTAGTGGCAGGTTTCTATTCTTAATACTATAGTTTTCCTTTAAGATTACAGTGGTAATATGCTAACAATGTAAATACAACCATACAGAGGGGAAACATCAACTGATGGCTCATATGATGACACTGAATGTGTTACTCTAATTTATAGGGATGTGCATGGGCAAAAAAATTGGTTCAGTTCGGACTTCCGAAATTCGGGACTTCGGCAATTCGGTTCCGCACTTC